GGAATCTGTTCAATTTATCTTTCATTTTTTAAAAATGTTTTTAATGAATGGAACTGCCATTAGTTCATTCTATCCTCCCCCCAAAACAACTTAAATATTTGTCAAAGCACTCTGTAATACTATATTTCATACAAACATAAAATTCAACAGTTGTTGCGAACATTTTTTGCTTCAATTTAATGGGCATTGTGTGTCTTGGGGTTACATAATACTGGCATAAGGTTATACATGGAGAAGGGCACGAATCAGTCAGCTGCAGTAATGGTCGTTGTCCTTCATAGAGGATAAAGAATATGAGTGAGTTTTGTTAAATTGTCTGTCAAGATGTGTTGCCCCACTCTTTGTGGTGTAATGTCAATTGCTTTAAGGGTTATAACACTGAAGCTATTCATTGGCCAGTCTAAAGTGTTTGCAATTTTTGTTATCATTTTGCTCAACTAGTTTGTGGTTGTTTTAAATACAAGTGGAATTCTTTTTCTTTTATGTTTAGTTTGACTAAACTTCAACTGAGTGTGGCAATAAAGTGCTTGTGGCCTTGTTTGCGAAAAATTGGGCTATCGACCAAATTGCTGCTTGCTGGGAAGTGAGTTTAGTTCCACTGAGCACTTGTACCTCAAATTCAAAGCTAAATGATGGCTTGTATCTCCAAAAACTCGTAAAGCGGGTCACTCGTTTCAAGGTACCGCAGTACATTTGAATTGAATTTTGAATAAGTGTTGGTTTTATTTACAATTTTCCCACTGTTAAGGAGGCTTGTTAGGGTTCAAAATGTGCATGTCCAGTGTTGCAATTATGAATTGAATTTAATTTTTTCAAGGAATAAAACCTCTTTTTTATGAACACTTTTCAGCTTGCTATACCAGTGAGTGCTGAAGTTTTCTTGTTGTGTTGCCCAGTCGAGCGGTAGTGTTTTGTTGGTGATTGTTTGTTTGTTTTCATATAAAAAAAAGACCATCACCAAAAGGCAGTTCATATGTGGACAATGTGGGGACGCGCCAATGTGTGTTGCTATAATGCAGTTGTCCCAGAGAGAATGTTGTGGTTGGTGCCCTGGAAAGAAGGTGCTTCCACTCTCCACCAGGTACATGCATGCAGCCTCAAGCCTGCGGCTCTCACCTTGAAGTCTGGCCTTACGCCAGCTCTAATGAAGTCACTCATTATAACATTATATAACAAAAACATGGAGCTGGCTTTTACGGTATGTTAGTTATGCGCGCTTGTACAAAACAGTTTTGTACAGGCGGTGGAGGAGGAGGCTTCGCAAAATGAAAAAAAAAACAAAAAAAAATATCGTAATGACGATGAACTATGACCATCACGGACAGAACACTTTGGGCACTTTGTGTACCTTCCTCTGCGTGGGACTCTTTCCAAGCCAGTTTTTCCTGAAAGTGATCCATTTAGTTCCATCATGTGTGGATGCTAATGGATGTTCCACAGGAGGAACCTCCCTGTGACTTGATGGTCTTCAAACGTTCACATGTGGCACAAAGATGTTTATTGCTCCTGACAGGTGACAGGGTTTGGTGCGATGAGGCCATCCGAGCAGGTTCTGCCGGCTTGCGGGCGGGCGTTGTTGCAGTTGACTTATTTTAAGGTGTGTGTGTGTGTGTGTGTGTGTGTGTGTGTGTGTGTGTGTGTGTGTGTGTGTGTGTGTGTGTGTGTGTGTGTGGGAGCGGCCCGGGACTACCGACGAGTTTTCCAAAATATTCCTTGGAGACACTTTGATGTGGGCGACCGGAGGCTCAACGGGTCGTGTTACAAGTGATCAGCCCTTATTATGTTGCCGCATGTAGTTCTTCGTCAGACTAATTACAAGATATCCATCACTCAATTTGTCGAGAGCAGTGGTTGCCCAACTTTTTACAGCAAGTATCACCTGAAAAAAATACTTAAATAACTATCATAACCGAAATTAAAATACAGTAGGTCTATAAGTGTTCATTAAAAACAAGAATGAGGCAAATAAATACCTAAATAAATAAAAATGAAGAAAAGAGAGACTTTTACTATGACTCTAAACCACTGACGTATTATGCGCAGTTTGAACCTTAACACTGCGCTTAAATACGGGAAAATCAAACATGCACTTCCATAATGAATCCATTAAAATGTATTGCCAAAAATTGTATGCGTAAGAATAAATGGATAAAAACAGACAGTTGTAAAAGATAAATGCAAATGTGCTGAACTTAAAAATGAAATACAGCTGAAGTGTACTCTTTCATATGTCACACTGGAAGTGATCCTCCTCAACTTTACATACTTGTGTTAAAAGTTTATTTGTGGAATATCTAGTAGCCATGTTAACATTGATTCCTTGAATAATTGTATCGATAACTAGTATTATATACAATTACAAATGAGACTATTGATTGACTTTTGAAGTGAATTCATTGCTCATCAATAAGAGTACACGTTGCGGGTGCTAATTAGTTCTTTGTGTAAATCATTTCCATTTCAGTTTGGCTCAATCACAAATGAAGTTCGAATCTATGTGAAAGAACACATCATATTGGATGTTGAAAGCATCACTCAAAAGCACATTGAGTTGCCCTGTGTATGAAATGTGCTCGATAAATAAAACTGCTTGTCTTACTCCCTAAAAATTAAACATGGACTTTCATTCATCTTTCATCTTCTTGTCAGATTGTCCCCCACAATTACTTTGTCAGCTAACCACAAATATATCATACATCAAATTAAGATGACAAAACAATTACAGTGTGTGGAGACTGGTTGACAAGAAAATGTGTTAAACTGTACTATATAATTCAATGACACAGTGCAAACTACAACCATAGAAAACATATTATTCAATTAATACCGCTCTGTCCATGAATTCTGAGCATTATTATCTTTGTAATTGTTTCAATATCTTGTGTAACCTACTGAATATTTGATTTTCCTAACATAATAAAAATGTGCTAACACACCTGCAATAACATGCATCTTAATTATAATTTAGAATAGAATAGAAAGCCTTTATTCTCATTGCATGGTGAAGATACAACAGAATTGGGGCAAAACTACAAGTTTGTGTGCTCAAGAATAAACATTTGAATAAAAAATAATAAAATATAATTTACTGTTAAAACTACAATAAAAATACTTCACTTAATTGTTGTATATTTTTTTTATGTTTTTTTTTTTTTTGTAAAACTCATTACAGCTCTCCAGAACAAGAGAGCATTTCTTGTTAATAAAATCATAGCTGGCATTGAAAGAATTTAATATGACCTTGCTCGGCCGCTATGACAGAACCATGAGGGCTGTGAGGGAAAAAGGGCCAGAGAAGGGGGACCAGCCGGGCTGAAGGGGAAGCAGGGAGAGGTAACAGGGCGGAACAACAAAGGGGGAGTATGGTGACGCAAACGGGAAGCCTCAGGTGTGTCAGTCTGACCAAAATTGACAGGGTCGCGAAAATCGTTGTTAAACAGTGGCATGTTTCGACCATAATTACATACATGAATCACCGCCTGCTGTGTCATGTGGTTCGAGAGAAGCAGTTTGCAAAGGCATGACAGAAAGAATATGTTTTCGCCATTCCTCTGTGTGGGCGTGTGCGGGTATGTGTGCCAGCATGTGTGGTGGCATGCTTATCGCTGATGAAAGCCGTAAGAGGATCTTTTCTGTGTGGGTGTGTGTGTGTGTGTGTGTGTGTGTGTGTGTGTGTGTGTGTGTGAGTGAAAGCAGGATTATGAGAGGCCAGCGAACATGCGGTCCCTTTTTGTTGAAAACCATCTTTCAGCTTCAATTTTCTCTGTTGGAAACCAGAGTTAGAAGCAGTGCAGAGTTTTCCGTGTCCCCTCAGAAGCACACACATGCACGCGCACCAATTACATTACACACTGGTACCTTGACTTGCAAGTTTCATGTGTTCCAAGACCAAGCTCCTCACTCAGTGTACTCATCCTTTACTAGTATGTACTATCAAAACATTTTTTCTCATTAAAATGAATGGAAGTGACATGTACTCATTCCAGACCCCCCACCCCCAAACTCCCTTAAAAAAATAGCACTGTATTGCATATAAACATGACAAAAAAATAATAAAAGAGAATGTCAAAAATCAACTGTTGTGAATACTGTACGTAACGTAGCATTTGTGTGTTAGATGTATGCACTGCCGAGTGACAAGCATCAGGGCCGGTGTCAGATTGACTATGTTCAGTTCAGCTCGTTACAAGTGTGCTCATTTTGTATTTGTATGTTAGACAATTGGTCCCATTCCAAAACTGTGGCTCTCCTTGCCCACATGTAAGGGCATTAACATACCAAAGTTGCACCTATTTTTATGTCACTCAGGTAGCCATTAAAAAAAAAAAAAAATCAACCAAGTAACTGCTCATAACTTGAAAAACTCATAAATTGGGACACCCGGAAGTCAAGTATACCACTTTATATATTCAAAGTAAAATGAAGCACATCCACATATTGGAAATACATTTTTTGACTCTTCAAATGTCCTGCAAACTACACATGACCTCCAAAAACTAAACTCATATAAAAGCGTTCATTCAATGCTCTTTTGTTCTTTTGTTATTTTTTTTCAAAACATATATGAGCACGTGCTTATCCGTGTGTGAACATGGAAGCCATTCACCCGACCGTCCCGAGCTACTAAGTGAGGTTTTATTTGAAGCTAGTGTAAACCTCTGAACGCCAGAGAGCCCAAAATAAGAATGGAAATGGAAAAAGCTTTTTTGGCAGTGTTAAATGAGCGCACTGGCAGTGTGTAAACAGACAAGGGCATTGCCATAGAGACAAAGAATTACACCGGAATATTGTAAGAGAGAGAAAAAAAAATACTTTAAACAATGAAGAAGCAGCAACTGAAGCAAAGTTTGGAATTTATCACAGGGGGTCATTTCAGGGGCTGTGGAATCATATCATCTATGTTGTGATTATGAAAACTTCTGCAATTTGTCTATTGTTAACTCCCGAAACGGTTGCCGTTGGAACATTTGGAATCATTTTTGAGTGTGCTGTCTTTACAGTTCATCAAATCCACCTTGTGATGTTAATGTCTGCTGCCATGGTCGCCGTCGTGGGTTCGTCCCACAGCTTGGCCAGTGAGAGGAGTTCAATAGAGAGCACGTACGAGCTCACCAAATTTCTGGAATACCAGCTCAAGGAAATCAAAGACGTCTACGTGAGTTTTATTTTGCTTATTTTATCCATGTGATTTGTTGGTTTATTTGTGTGCTGTCTATTTCCTGTCTATAGTTTTTGAAATATAAATATTAGATATAGGTATCGCTGCACTCAAATTGATTTAACCTTCTGCAAATATCTGTTGCTCGCTTTCAAATATTTACAAATGTCCAAATTACAAAAGCATAGCATTTTAAATCGTTGAACTCAACCGAGATTACCATTTTGTAAATACGCTATTTGTATATTATAAATTTTCAGTGAACCCGTCAGTATTCCTTTGTAAATGCTCAAATGAAAATGTCTGAGATGTATTCGCACAAACACGGGAAGAAATGCAACACAGAAAATCACATTTGAACTTTTAATCATTTTACCACATGAATTCTACAGACCATTGTTACTTCTGGGGAGTTACTCATGGGAATTATTTGAGTTCGAAAGAGATTTATTGACCTCAAATACCTTTGTGCCATTTCTGTGTCAGTTTATATTATTTGTAATAGTTTAAGCAGATATGTCAAGGTTGCGTTAGCGTTATTTCAAACATTTACTGCGCATATGTGTTTCTCAGACAATGGAAGCATTTTGTTTTTGGTGACCCTCCTGTGGGTCTTGTTCATAGCAGGTCTGCACATCTGTTTGGTTCTGCTTAATGTGCTTGACAAGATCTCAAATTCTTGCAACTCAACATGGACCTTGCGTGCTTGTGTCTCTGCCCCCATAGTTGACGTACCTCGGCCCCCCGTTCAACGATAAAGACTTTTCACCGCCAAGGCCCAATAGCACGGCTCTCTCCCTGCCCAGCGCCGCCACCCGTCTGGAGCTGTGGCACGGCCTGGAGAACCAGGCCCGCCTGGCTCAGAACCAGAGGGCCTACTCAGTCCTGTTGGCGGCTGTTAGAGATCTGGCCCGCTCCACAGTCTGCCCCTCCCTCAAGACCTCTCTGCTGCATTTCTGCACGGGCCTGGATGGCCTTTTGGGCTCCATATCGGCGCTGATGACCAGTCTGGGCTATGCCCTTCCTGAAAGGAAATCTGGTGAGCTTCAATGGGGGTTGGAGGGAGATAGCCCAATGCCTCTGATCAGCAGCAACTCGTACAGGTCCAGAACCAGGACGAGGACAGGGAGACGGGGGCGAGGGGAGAGGGAGGGCGGCCTCAGCGTGGATGTTAAGCGAGGGAAAGCGAGGAGGCGACCGGAGGCGCCTGCCGACAGAGGAAGGAGCGGCGGGTTGAGGGAAAAGGTGAAAAGAGAGAAGAGAAGAGGGAGGCGGGAAGAAACGGAGGCCTGGAAGTGGGCCTGGGAAGAAGAGGAGCGAGTGGTAGGTACGAGGAGATGGGGGAGGAGCTTGTTGAGCGTCGGTGAGGATCCAGAGGCGGAAGAGAGGCAGCCTGATTCCACCATCGTTGCTCAGGCAGGTGAGGGTTACAGCTACAACCTTGACTTTCATTACACGGACACGCTCAGGAAGGAGGACGGCGTCATCGTGGATGGAAGGAAAAGCTTCTTTATGGACTTCTCCTCGCCCCATCATCAACGTCGTTCTCCTCGCTCCCTCCTTCCCCCTACGCTGCACCCGTCTCCATCCACCCTCTCTCTTCTCTACCAGCTCAGGCCAGGCGAGGAGCACGGGCTCGTCCCCACATCCCCGACACTGTCCTTACACGGAGGCCCCTCGCTTCTCTCCTCCGCCTCGTCATCGTCCTCTGTGCTCCTCTCCGTACGGCCAGCCATGAGCGACTTTGCCAGGAAGGTGGAAGGCTTTTGGATACTGCGTGAGTTGCAGAGCTGGTTGTGGCGTTCAGCAAAGGACTTTAACCGCCTCAAGAGGAGACTGAGAGGTTGAGAAGATGCGACACAAAACAATAAACACACACAATGGGCAGTGTGAACATTGACAGTATTTGCACTAGGGATGAGCATTGACTCCATTTCTTTGATTGACAATGGGGGAAATCAGCAATCAGTGAATCAAATACTTATTTAAAAACAAAAAATAATAATAAGGCCGGCTGCACCGTGCTCAAGCTGTTAGCACATCCGCCTCAGTGTTGAGGTTGAGAGTTCGAATGTGGGCTGTGGTCTGTCTTAGCACGTTCTTCAACTCTTGTTCCCACATTCCAGTAAGTTCATTGAAGTCTCTTAATTGTCCTTAGGTATGAATGGCTGTCTTGTTTCTTTGCCTTGCAATTGGCTGACGAACAGTTCAGGGTGTGCCCCACCTCTGACCAAAAGTCAAGTGGGATGGGCTCCATGTCGGTCTTCTTTATACTGCAAACTACACTGACAAAAAATATTTGTTGAATTTACTAAATCCAACTGAATGATCTTTGTTACGTCAAGTGGTCGCACAAAAAAAAACAAAAAAAAAAAAACATCTGAATCCAGATTTTTTTAAATTGACTATACATCTCCTCAAATAATGTATCCGGATCCAGATTATTTTACAGTATTAATATGTTTTTTTGTGCAACCTCTTGATGAAATAAAAGGTATTCAATTCAACACACCATTTTTTTTTCGGTGTAGTTGCTAGTTCCTAGCATTGTTAAGTCACACAAATCAACGATCAATTCTACACAAGCAAACAAATTCTTATTGGACTATGAATACGTTATTCTGCCCATTGACTAGACTGTGAAGCCTTTAAAAAACACATTCATGCTGAACGTTATTCAATATCCAGCTTTAGGTCCATGTACTAGTGTGCCTTTTGTCCTCACTAGCAAGGCTACTCAGCGCACCAGAAGAATGACTGTCTTACTCGGTATGTTTTTTTACACTACTAGTGCCGACTAATATGCCATTAAACATTACGAGTTAACTACACAGAAAAAAATTGGTAGTTGAATTTACTTTTAGGGAATTACTAACGTTTTAAAGAAATGCATAGTCCATTTAAAAAATAGATCTGGATTCAGATGATTTTATTTTGTGTAATCGCTTGACGAAATAAAATATAGGAAACACAGTCCATTTTTTTCAGTGCACTGTGCTTCACTAGTTACAGTATTATGGTCAACTAGAGGACCTATGACACATACTAGTAGCCTGATGAACTCTGATAGCAGCACCACATTGTCTGGAGTGAATTGGCTCAATTTTATTTTGTCAAGTGGTTGCATGAAATACAATATCATTTCAATATAGTAATTTTGCCTCGCGAGCTACATACAGTTGTCCTACCAGTATGCCAAAGTTATCCTACTGGTGTGCACAAATAGTCAAACCGTCGTGGAAAAAACCATTAGAAGTAAGACATCATTGTACTACTATACTCTAGTCGTTTTACTAGTGCACCGAATTGTCTTTTGGGATATCAGCTTTATGGAAAGCTCTTTGAGCAGTTATTCAATGGCCTTGATAAACAGCTTAAGGTCTATAACTAGCATGTCATTTGTCCTCATTAGTAAGACAGATTTGGCATACTAGTAGGACAACTCCATTTTACTAGTGAGGAAAATCTGTGCACACTAAAGTTGTCCTACTTTGGAGCAGAAATGTCACGCAGTAATGGAAGACAGAAGAGGAGAAATATGTTCGTAATAAGACACAGTCATTCTTCTTGTGCACCTTCGTCTTTCCACTAGTGCAATAAGTTGTCTTATTAATGGGGACTAGTACATGAACCTTAAGATTGTTATCAAGGATATCGAATAAATGCTCAGATGCCAGACTGCCATAAACGCATTTGTTCGTTTCATACGGGAATGGGAGAATGAGGGTCATTTGGCAGGTCACCACACACACACACACACACACACACACACACACACACACACACAATCACTTGCACTGTCGCACACATTCTGAGACTGGCCTGAATTACCGGACTTCATGGCTCGTAGATCACCAGCAATACTGCTGCAGGTGGTTACACACACGCATGCACTCGTGCGAAAAGAGTCACACACTTGAGGGTCAGCTGAGTGACAGTGCAGCCATTGAGCAAAAGCAGATTCAGTCACACTACTTGTGTGAATCAGCAAACATTCATCAGAAATGTTATGAATGGGGAGTAGACAAAAGGAGTGCGGTAGGAGAGGAGACGGAAGAAACCGCCGGATGGGTGAACAGGTCGCAGACGAAGGGGCAGAAGAGAAGGAGAAAACGAGATGAGTCAGTGGAAGAGTGCTGGAAAGAATGGCCAGATTGGGAGAGCAATGCTGAGTAAGCACAAGTCGGCTGGTCAGTTACAGTAACTGTACAACAGCACTGTACACTATAACCAGACAGTGGCGGTACCACACTCACACATTCGCACACACACGCACACACGCACACACACACACACACACACACACACACACACACACACACACACACACACACAGTGGAACCTCTAAGATTGAACATAATCCGTTTCGGCAGGCTTCGTGAATTTAGAATCCAGGTTTAGCATAGAAACTATTACAATTTGATGTAATATATGTAAGCACAAAACTGCCAAAATTGTACCGATATGTTTTTTGTATAATTTTAACATTAACTGTCATACACATGCAAAAATAACTAACAATAAAAACATTCTTAAGCTTAGCTTGCATAACAAGTGATAGACATAGTGACATGGAGGCATAAGGACATGATTACGAGTGCCGACTCTCCATTGTACAACTTTTACTATTATCATCAATTTAGCCATATTTTACTGAGCAGGCCAGAACACAGTTATTTGTTTGATTCTTCACTCCGATGTTGCAGAATGTTCCGTTCCGACTTCGATGGCTTTTTTCTCTTGCCATCACTATCACTGGTATCCTTCTGTGGTGGTGTCAGACCAAAAATATGCAATTACAAGTGTTTGACTTGAGAGGTTCCACTGAACTTTAGTTTGCCGTAACACACATCATCCACCATGCTCTTTTCTTCACGCATTCACTTCATAGAAAAAAAATACCTATATTGTTCAAAGTGAATTCTTTTCCTTTCTTGGGGTTCAAAACACCAGTTCCGCAAACAAGAAAATAAAAAAAAAAAAATAAGACCAAGACAAATAAAGAGCCACCTGAAACTGTTCTCATGAGAATTAGAAAGGAATCACATAAAATGCGTCAATATTACTTTCCACCATATGAACAATTTTGCAACAAACCCCTGCAGTGACACACTTACAAAAAGGGTCCTGAGTTCAAAGTTACAAACATCTCCAATGCTCAAATAAAACACGGTATTTTGCAATAAACATGCTGCTTACAGTCGGTTTATATATTTTTCCCTGCAAATAAATGCTGTGAATGTCAATGTTTGTACAGTATCTGGGGATTTAGGGTTATGTTGTAATTTTATAGAATTTTTAAAAATATATTGTTTTACTGGTCAGACACCTATAAGTAGCTAAATCACAAAAAGTCTTTATTTTTGCAGTGGTCTCAGATTTTCCTTTTCCAGAAGGTGTATGTCGCTTAGGGTTACATTTAGGGATCGTTTTTGAACGATTCTTTAAGTCAAAACAATAAAAAAATTCAGATAACCGAGAAAATATGACAGCTTCCAACAAATTCCACCACGTTTGTGTAAAATGCAAAAAATCATTGCGAGAACAGGTTCCAGCACGGATCGAACACGTTGCGAACATCCCGCTCCGTTATTTCTCGGATCGTTTTACGGTCATCAAATGAGAAATTTTCATTGGCTGGAGGAACATTAGGACTCGCCAAACACATGTGATCCAAAAGAACTTTAACAACGCAGCCTGGCGGAGGTTATATCTAATACGTGAGCAGGAGGAACTGGATGCTCCACTATAAATCTGAACCACCGCTATCTTTGATGAGGTTCTTGAAACCCTCTCTTCTCACCTGTAAATCCTCTCTGTGACTACCTCTGCGCTGCAGAGTGTTATGCACGTGTGGGTTTGGGCCTCCTCAGTACATTCGAGAGTAAAGGACAGATTGCAAGGGGAGCAGGATGCACTGTCATGTATCGGAAAATAAAAAACGGACAGCAGTTGGGTTTTGGAGAACATTTGCACCAGCGTTTGGTGTGCAGAAGGCAAAGCTTGACGCAAAGAGGACACAGGCCTTGCCCTCAGGAGCTGGCATGTCACACACTCATCTGTGTATGCATCTGTGTATGTTTGCGACTCACATGTGAAAGTGATTATTTATGGCTTTTTAAAACCTCTTGATTTTTTTGTTTTGTTTCCCCGGACAGAATCTATGATTTTTTTTTTCCAGCGTGTCTTTACAATGTGGCTTAAGGTTATGACACAAAAGTCTTGGGCCATCATTAGATTTGTTGTTTTAGTAATGTTGTCATGACCACTAAACAAGTTTTGTTATTAGGACAGAATCAGAAAGCACAGCAAAAAGAATTGTATGGCACGATGTAAAGTAAATAAAATGTACATCATTACGAATAATATGAGGGATGATGTTAGCTTTTATTTTGTGAAATGTTCGTAAATAAGACAAAATCTGTTAAAGCAAATTTCAAATGAATGTAAACCCGACTGCAAATAATGACACAGTCCCCACTATTGTGATGCATGTCAAAATCACTGTTGCACAATGAAACAAGAAAGCCAGTGGTGGCCCCAAGACATTTGAACAGTACCTAACTGTATTTATTAAGAGATGTTTATTTATTTTTATCCAGTGTGGAAAATACTGTATCAAAAACTCAATAGAGAATAAATACGAGCTTTTGTACACAATGTGCTGTTATTGATCATTGGGGAAACAATTTTACATATGTTTTTGGGTGATGGGCAAAGTTTGAGCTGTTATCTGGAAACAAAAGCCAGTGCATATTTATGACTCCACCGCCCACCTAAAAAAAGCCAAAGAAAGGTCTGGCTATGCCACACTGTCTTTGTCTACTCGGGTGAAAATTTACGATCTTTCCCCTTTCATCTTTCGCACTGCATCATTCCTCCTCCCACTTTTATCTCATGTCACGATCTCAAGAAGCTCCTCTTCCCGCCAAACATCCCTCTGACCTGTGACAGCAGGGATTGACGTCATCAGCGCAGGAACAAACGCACCC